GTTTGTTCCAAAAAAATATTTACAGTGTGGGTGATGTAAAAAGTTTGTCTCACAACATTGTGTACAATGTGGGTGATGTACTATACGTGAGATCTGCTATAGTCAGTTCTGAATCTCCCACAATGCCATACTGGTTAAGGTCTATATCAGGATAATGTGTGAGACCAAGCTAAAAGCACATCCCATCTAGGCCCATCTATGAATTTGATATGACGCTGTTGGGGGGATTCATTAATGTTATTATCACAATGCATAGACCTGAATTGTTTTAGGTTAATTACATAATTTGCATAATTGTTCAGCTTTTCCCATCAATTATCTTAAGTTCTAATCACACTTCAAAGGAATTTGGTACATTACGCAGACCTTTTACATTAAAAACTGTGCATATGAATTACCTGATTGGCATAATAATCAGTCTAATTTCAGTATTTTTCATAAATAACTCACATACTTATTTCAATGAATCTTGGTACATTTATACTCTTAAGACAATGTGACGATCTAATTAGTTTTGGGTTTATATACATCCACAATAATTACCTGATTTGCATAATAACTTACTTTTCAGCTTTGCACCGTTTTTTTTTTTTAATCATTACATTATATTTTAACTTGGAACATAATTGTCTCAGAACAATGCACAGATCTAATTAGTTTTAGGTTGAAATTTATGCATAATAATAACTTAATTTGCATAATTATTCTACCTATATCTCAAAAACCAGTTATTGCATTTCAATAAGACTTGCTATGTAAGTTCTTGGGAACACTGTTTTGGATTGAAATTCGAGTAGCTAATTACCTAATTTGCATAGTCATCACATTTCATTGAAATCTGTTTCATAGATGCTCTGGGTAATCCATAGACAAGATTAGTTTATTTTTGAAAAAGCATACATATTGATTATCTAATTATTTCTAATATCTCAAAAAATTTGATTTAAATTGAATTTGTGGTAAAGGTGCCGCAGATAAATTAGACTGCAAACCACATATGTATAATCAAATTTATTTTCTGCATGTATTATAAACATAAATAATCTTTGAAAGGCTTATCTTAAATTTTGAATTAATTTCTAATATGCCTTCTATACACTCAGTACATAGGAGTTCTTTCTAATCTTTCTTTGTTGGTGAATGAATTTACTTGCAAATAGAGATTGTTATTATCATGTGATAATGTGAAGCTTACAGCTGTTCTAAGAATTATTCGCACAGTCAGTTAGCAATATATCTTGGAACTTGCTAAACACTTGGGTCTATTCCAATCTGAATAATTCTCAGAACGGCTGTAAGAATGAAATCAAATGTATTGTTTATGTGAATACATGCAAACAAGTCCAGATGCTTGAATTTCTCATAGAGCATCGGTGAATTATACAAATATGAAGAAACATTCAATATTTTTACATTGTCCTCTAGTACTGGCTTGTTATTTTCTTGATAACCAGGTAAAATGTACCACTGACCGACCATTGAAAACGTATCTTTTCTAAAATTCAATAGTATGTACATGGTATTTTGATATTTAATAAAACTCTGTTAAATGAAATAAAAATGATTGTATTCAGTGTTCTGTAGTGTGTGGACATGGTGTCCGTACAAGAAAAGTGACATGCGAAGATCCAAGTGGTGTAGTAGAAGACAGACTCTGCATACACATGGCTAAACCAGCTGATACAGAAGGCTGTGAAATGAGATCATGTGCCAAGGATTGGTACTTCTCTGAATGGTCAGATTTGGTAAGTTTATACCAATTTATCCACACCACAGTACCTTTTCGTCACTAGAGGGAGCTACTTATAGAAGAGTTGTATTGAAGTGATAGTTTCACCTTCAAGTTGTATCTGTTAACACTCTTTGCTGTGATAGTGCACCGGCTCGACCGGCATTCCACAGCAGCGCGCTCAGAGCCCATAGAAATGCATGTACAGTGGTGCGCGTCTTAGCAACGTGGAACGTCTGTGACGTAGCTCCGCCCCCGAGGATACCTTCAAACTTTGATATATTTTTGATTTGTATGATCTCAATTGTATATTTGAGGAGATATGCTCTGAAATATAAGCAAAGGAACATCATGATGTGCTAGTGTGCATCTGAAGTTGGTATGCGTGCTGGGACACCAATTCTGATATACCTGTGTTCTTTAATTTTATCTTCAGTGTTCTGAACAGTGTGGTCCTGGAGTACTAACTAGACATGTATTCTGTGCTGGGCATGGTGAAGAGGATGCTGTTGCTAGAACTGAGTGTTTTTCAAATGATGACCCAAACACACCAGACCATGTCACAATGGTGCATGTACTGCACAGTGGTTTGCCTCGCCATGGAGTCAGGTAAGATCAAGAGTTCAAAAAATTCATTCAATTTATTGCAAAATGCAGATAAAAATGTAATCAAATCTGTATAATTTATGAACAATGCCTTATTAGTTAGAAATGAAAATCATGATATGTAATTTAATCCAGTTAGCTGTCATGTGGTGAGACTGAGTACTTAGTTAGCTGCCATGTGATGAGTCTGAGTACTTAGTTAGCTGTCATGTGGTGAGGTTGAGTACTTAGTTAGCTGTCATGTGGTGAGTCTGAGTACTTAGTTAGCTGTCATGTGGTGAGTCTGAGTACTTAGTTAGTTGCCATGTGATGAGGCTGAGTACTTAGTTAGCTGCCATGTGATGAGACTGAGTACTTAGTTCGCTGTCATGTGATGAGTCTGAGTACTTAGTTAGCTGTCATGTGGTGAGACTGAGTACTTAGTTAGCTGCCATGTGATGAGGCTGCGTACTTAGTTCGCTGCCATGTGATGAGGCTGAGTACTTAGTTCGCTGTCATGTGGTGAGACTGAGTACTTAGTTAGCTGCCATGTGATGAGGCTGAGTACTTAGTTCGCTGCCATGTGATGAGGCTGAGTACTTAGTTCGCTGTCATGTGGTGAGACTGAGTACTTAGTTAGCTGCCATGTGATGAGACTGAGTACTTAGTTAGCTGTCATGTGGTGAGACTGAGTACTTAGTTAGCTGCCATGTGATGAGGCTGAGTACTTAGTTAGCTGCCATGTGATGAGGCTGAGTACTTAGTTCGCTGCCATGTGATGAGGCTGAGTACTTAGTTCGCTGTCATGTGGTGAGACTGAGTACTTAGTTAGCTGCCATGTGATGAGACTGAGTACTTAGTTCGCTGTCATGTGGTGAGACTGAGTACTTAGTTAGCTGCCATGTGATGAGACTGAGTACTTAGTTAACTGCCATGTGATGAGACTGAGTACTTAGTTCGCTGTCATGTGATGAGGCTGAGTACTTTGTTAGCTGCCATGTGATGAGGCTGAGTACTTAGTTAGCTGCCATGTGATGAGGCTGAGTACTTAGTTAGCTGCCATGTGATGAGACTGAGTACTTAGTTAGTTGTCATGTGATGAGACTGAGTACTTAGTTCGCTGTCATGTGATGAGGCTGAGTACTTAGTTAGCTGCCATGTGATGAGGCAGAGTACTTAGTTCGCTGCCATGTGATGAGGCTGAGTACTTAGTTCGCTGTCATGTGGTGAGACTGAGTACTTAGTTAGCTGCCATGTGATGAGACTGAGTACTTAGTTAGCTGTCATGTGGTGAGACTGAGTACTTAGTTAGCTGCCATGTGATGAGGCTGAGTACTTAGTTAGCTGCCATGTGATGAGGCTGAGTACTTAGTTCGCTGCCATGTGATGAGGCTGAGTACTTAGTTCGCTGTCATGTGGTGAGACTGAGTACTTAGTTAGCTGCCATGTGATGAGACTGAGTACTTAGTTCGCTGTCATGTGGTGAGACTGAGTACTTAGTTAGCTGCCATGTGATGAGA